GCAGAAACGACAAACATGAAATCTGGTACTCCAGAACTAGAGCTAATGGAGAATCTAATATCAACCTCAGCTACAGAGATTTGAGATTTCTGGATTACATGAAACCTCATCTCAAAACAAATAAACAAAACAACCAGCCAAGCACACACCAAAACAGGCAGAGTCTAAGTTAAACACTGGAAATTCCTCATTCTCTTGTCATTGGGCATTCCCACAATCTCCAGGAGAGAATCATATAATTGCTCTGTCCTTCTGACCAGCATTATCCAGTACTAATACAGTAAGGACTGCATAGCAGTTTTAATTTTCTACTACCATATTAAAAAGAAATGGTTGACAGGGCACAGGGCTTGAGAGATGGCTTAGCAGTTAGATGTACTCACTGCCTAATCATGAAGGCCAGACTGAGCATCCCAGCCCCCACATAAGAAGACACCACCCCAAGAACACCTGATTCCCAGCCCTGAAATGGGGAGAGGGAGACAAAGGGGAATGGTGGTCTTCTGGCTTCCAGTGTACTGAGAAAACATGAGGCCCAAATCAGGGCGATCCTGACTCAGAGGAATAAGCAGGGAAATAGACGAGGACATCAGATACCCTCTTTTGGCCTTCATGTGTGTACACCCCAACACAAATGCACACTTGTGTATCCACTAAGAAATGAAAATAATAAAAAACTAAAGCCCCCATTTAACATATATTAGTATATTGGTGAGTCTTCTCAAATACTCAGATGATACTTAAGTATAGAAAAGGCCAGAGAGATGGCTTCATGGTTGGGAGTACTTCCTGCCCTTGTAGAGGACTTGGTTAAGTTCTCAGCACCCACAGGAGAAGTCTTCTCATGTGTCTCCAGTTCCAGAGGATCCACGGCCCTCACTTGGTGCCTGTGGGCTTATCCATACACATGGTGCATGTACATATAGCCCTCCCCACTGGTATTAATATAATAAATTTTACAAACTTAAAAAAAGAAATTTATTTTAAAAATAGAGAGCTTTAAACTCAAAATCTTTTTTTTATTTCATCCTGTTTCTCTACTAGGGATGGAACAATTTCTCTCTCCCTCCCCCCTTCCTCCCATTCTCCATCTATCCATCCATCCATCCATCCATCCATCCATCCATCCATCCATCCATCTACCCATCTACCCATCCATCCATCCATCCATCCATCCATCCATCCATCCATCCATCCATCCATCCATCTATCTATCTATCTATCTATCTATCTATCTATCTATCTATCTATCTATCTATCTATCTATCAGTCTGTCTATCTATCTATCTATCTATCTATCTATCTATCTATCTATCTATCTAAATAAAGTCTTACTTCATCAAGTTCTCTAGCTAGGCCAGGCTAACTTATTCCCCATATAGACTAGGCTAGCTTCAAACTCACAGAGATTTGCCTCCTCCTGCCTTCCCAGTGATCCCCAATTTGCTCATGCCAGAAATGACCACTAGATCCTAGCCAAACTCCCTGACCTGGAGTTGACTATGCTGTTGTTGGGCAAAATCTCTAGTGCCGAGTGTGAGGGGCTCTGAGGCCTGTCTGCTCTAGGCCTCAGTGAAGTTCTCTGCAGTTTTCATCATTTCATCCAACAATGACAACAACCATCTTCCTCAGACAATAAATTCCTGCTACAATTGCATCAACCTCACCATCCGGAAAGTTCAGATGAAGACTGCAAACTCTAACATTCCACACTGCTCCAGCTGCTTCTTTCCAGTCAAGGAATCATAGGAACGCTCTGGGCTGGGCAGCCTGCTTGAAGCTAGGACCCAGCCTCAGCTCACCTTTCAGACTTTATTGGGGGCCACTATCTTGTTCTAGTTTTGCTTTTGACACCCACACAGATGGTTACTGCGGGTTCTCTGTTCCTGTCTTGTTTCTGCTGGGCCTTGACAGAGGTGGTGTATTCTCTTCTTTCAGAACAGACCTCAAAGGTCACCTCCCAATGTGCTCTCGCCATTTGCGTTTGTGAGAAAGGATGCTCTAAAGCATCCTGTTCTGGTGCACGATGTCTTGTTCTCTGAGAACTGAGAATATACCACTGTTATGAAAGTGTGTCAGGCCTTGGGCTGATGGGAGTATTTAGGTCTTGAATGTGGTGATGGTCTCCAAGTACAATCAAACTGAATGTTGTTTTTTTTCCTGAGACAGGGTCTCCTGCAGCCCACTTTGGCCTGGAACTCACTGTGGATGAGCTTAAACTTCTGATCCTCTTGCTTCTACCTCCAGAGAGTGTTGCAATTACAGGTGTATGTGGCACTGGGGGTTTCCCACATGCTATAAAAACCACTTTACCCCTGAACTACACCTTCAGACCCTAAGTTATTTGTTCAAGTAAAGACAAAGAGTTATGTGTACTGATCACTGTGAGGAGAACCCCCAGTTCTGGAATTCCAGGCATGGTTCAGTGTTAGAGAGAGGTGCCTGAGAAAGCAACATAGAGACCCACACACAGAGAGGTTGTGTTGTGGGTTTCCTAAGAAACATGGGTATATTTATAAATTAAAGAGTATTTCTACTTTTTCAATTATTGTGTATGTGCAATGTTACTGAGTTCAGAGTTGGCCAGAAGAGCTGGATTTAGGACTCAGTTTACTCTCACTGCAGGACTGAACCATTTTCTCATTCTGCCTTATGGCCTTATTGACAGCGTTGGTGACAGGTGCTAATGTACACTGAGAACACACTGTGACCAGACACTAGACTAACCATTCTGGACCCATTGTCTTATTGAAATCCCACAAGACATAGCCTGTGAGATGTATGACATGCTGAGATGGGACTTCACCTATATTTTGCTCCCGTTACAGATAAATGAAAAGAACTTCATAGAGTTTAAGAGCAGGACTCTACCCAGAAGTAAGATGAGATTAACCTCCCTGATCAATGTGTCCTGAGGTCAGCTTCTTCTGTCCTGTTTGTCTTCTGGGACAGCTTCCAACCCTGACTCTAGGAAGAATTCAGCTCCTCCTTATGTGGCTGAAATCTGAGGGAGCTGATGGTCTGCATTCAGCTAGAAAGGGCCCTGATTTCACCTAATCAATCCCTTAGCACTGAATATAAGCAACAGTGGCAGCCCAGAGTAAATCAGAAAATAATGAAGACAATAACCCATTACACTAAGTTTACCTAATATTTAACTAAAATAGAATCATTTCTTATTTTACTAACTTTTTTAAAATTTATTTTACATACAGACCACAGTTTCCCCTCCCTTCTCTTCTCCCTTTTCTTCCCCCTCACCTCCCATCTTCCTCCATCCCCATCCACTCTTCCTCCGTTTTCATTCAGAAAGGGGCAGGCCTCCCATGGGCTTGAACAAAGCATGACACATCAAGTTGAGGCAGGACTGAGCTCCTCCCCCGCAACAGGGCTGGGCTAGGTAATTCAGCATGAGGAACAGGTTTCCAAAAGCCAGCTAAGTGCCAGGGACAGGTACTGATCTCACTGCTAGGAGCCTTACAAACAGACCAAACTACAGCCATAGAAACAGACACAGACATACACACACACACACACACACACACACACACACGCACGCACGCACGCACGCGCGCGCACGCACGCACACACACACACACACACGCACGCACGCACGCACGCACGCACACACACACGCGCACACACACACACTTATATATTGAGACAGGATCTCTCTATTTAGCCTGGTTACCTGTAACTCACAAAGTAGATCAGGCTGGCCTTGAACTTACAGAGAGCTGCCTGCCTTTGCCTCCCAAGTGTTGAGACTAACAGCATATACCACCATGCTAACCTCATACAATTCTAGTGTAGAGGATACCCATGCCTTTGCTTTTGCGTCTTTTCTCCCCACAGGCTGTAGTTAAGATACATTCAGCCATATCCTGCTTTTCATGGGGGTTCTTAGACTCAACCTCAGGTCCTCATTCTTGGGAAAATCCTTTTATCCACTGAGCCATCTCCCCAGGACCCTTGACAGCTTTTGATATATTTGCTCACATGCTGGGAATACTCCATATAGCAAGGTGAAAATGCCTAGCTCAAATGAACTGGTGAACCTGAAAAAAAATGGCAAGTATTTTTTCAAAGAAACAATACTTTTTATTTTTTAATTATTATTTTATTTTTTGGTGTGTATGGGTGTTTTGCCTGCATGTATGCCTGTGCACCATAGGCTTGCAGTTTCCTACCCTGCATGGATGCCTGAAGAAAGTGTCTGATCCTCTGGGGATGGAGTTCAGACCATTGTGAGATACCTTGTAGGTGCTGGAGATCAATCCAGATCCTCTGGAAGAGCAGCTAGAGTGCTTAACCACTGAACCACAAATCTAGCCTCCAAACACTGCATTTTTATTAATGATCAAGTGTTGAAACTTTCTTCTTCCAAAGCAGAGTACAGGTAATGGAACTGACTGTGTCTTGAGAGATCAGTATCAAAACCAAACAAGGCTTGTCCCAGGCAAGGCAGTGCACAACTTCAATCCCAGCATTCAGAAAGCAGAAGTAGGTGGATCTCTGTGAATTTCAGGTTAGCCTAATCTACAGATGGAAATCCCAGGACAGTAGAGGTTACTTAGCAAGATCTTGTCTCAAGAAAACAAAACAAGGTGAAGCTAAAAACCAAACCAACACCAACACACACACACACACACACACACACACACACACACACACACACACACACACACACGGGAGTTTTTTCACATTAACTAAATTTCTCTCCTTCCATCCTATTAATTTCCTGAGTTAAGAATTTTTTCCTGTGGTGTGAGAAAATGACAAAACACAAACTATTTCAAAGGAAAACAACTCTTTAAAGAAAGATGACACATAAGATATTTATGAATGTAGCAATAGTTAAGTCATTTACGGAACACAAACTCTTGATCTCTTATTGTGAAATCTACTGGAGGAAAATTCTCACTCTGTAGGTTTTTCATCTTCAAAGAACTATTTTTTTAAAATTTCATTTGAGATTTATTTGCATTTGTGTACCAGTATGTGTCCACAGGGCCAGAAGGGAGGCGGCACATCCCTGGAGCTAGAGTCTCAGGCAGTTATAAAACTACTGTGGGTGCTGGGAACCCTCAGATCCTCTGCAAGAGCAGTATACCCTCTTGAGCCATCCCTACAATTCTTCAGAGACTCTCACGAGTAATATTTCATTGCAATGACCACTATAAACCAAGGTCAGTGTGGAAATGGTAACATTATATAGATGGACAGAAATAGGAACAGAGAACAAGTTCTACTACTGTTGTTACTCAGTGCTAGGAATCGAGCCCTGTTTTTCACTGAATCCCATATATTCGGTTGCACAGAACACACTAGTGCCATGTTCTTGACCGCAAGCAGGTTTAGGGAATGCAACAGACCGACCATGTCTACTATGATCTCTAGGGAGACTGAAGAACCCAGCAGGCTTCACAGTTTCAGAGCCCTGCAGCCACCAGGCAAGAATCAGGAAGGAGGCAGAAAGCTAAAGCCCTGCTTTGGTGTATAAGTGCCTCAAACATAAGAAAAAGAAAACACTGTTGTTTAAATACAATCATTTCTAGAGCAAGTGAGGAAACCCCATTCAACAAACATTCAACAGAACTTTCCTTATCTGACCTCCCGAAGAAACCCCCAATCAGACACATACTTATTTCCTAGAACTCTGTAGAACAGCAGTGGAATGTGTATTGAGATCCAGCATCCTGCTCTCCTACAGGCTGAGTGTCTCTAACTGGAGTCAGGACTTATTCACACTGAAATACAAATTAATACCCTCTTGACAATCTGCCCTTCTCTACAACCAAACTGTTAATGAAGATGTCAATACAACAGCCTTTGTCAACTCTAGAAAAACCAAATATTTCATTGATTGTGATGAACTGATCCACTATGAAAAATGCTTTGTCTTTCTGAAATAAATTTAAATCTGGAGGCAATTATACATTTAGAACTCTGAATGAAACCAGTGATAGTCCTAAACCCGGTCACTCCTAGATCAGGGCTTCTCTCAGGCAGAGAGCCTGGGTCCTGCCCCCACTTCCCCCTTCATTTCTTCATTGTCTCCTTCCAGCACCTAATTCAGAGTCCAGTGGGTGAGGACAGGACACTGAGCACCAAGTCAGACTTCAGTGGAAACAGCACTAATGAACTCAGTCCTTGGTCCATTATTTTCTTCCCTGATGTCTGCCTGGTCCATTCTCACCATGGCAACCTCTCCTGACATGAAACACCCATCCTTATCTTAGATCAACCACATAATAATGCATCATATTTCAAGATCCATGAGGAAGTAGCACACTTCTAATGATGATATTAGACTCTCTTCTGTTCATCTATGGAGTAAAGTAAAACCTGCAGCTTCCATGACTAGAGCCCCTTGGAGATGGTAAGGATAAGTGACGTTTTGAGTTACAGTAAGTAGACAAGACATAACCATGAAGTGCTTCTAACTTAAATCTCACCCTCCCCCCTTTTGTTTTATTTTATTTTTACCTTTAAATCCTATTCCTCTCTGCTGGGTGGTTTTAGTAACCAACATAGAAGTCAATGGCCTGCATTACCAATGATTTTTCTTTTATGGACAAAAGAATTGTGGGGTCTAAAGGAAATTCAAAATGTTAAAGTGTTCATGTTGGAGAAAAGGCTCTGAGGTGAGTGGAGAGACTGGACATCATTTCAACAGTGAGAGTGAGGCCAGCCAGGCAGAGGATCATCTTTTCCACTATGGCTGGAAAGCAGGAACACCCGATGAATTGACACAGAAAATAGTCCTGGAGCTTAAAGGGGTGTCCAGCTTGGTGACATCTCATTGCTGTGTTCCACTGCAACTTAATCTTTGACAGGAGGATTGTCTTCAATAATGTAGATATTTTCCTGGACTCGTGGTCGTACATTCTTCGAATTATGTAAAGTTCTGATCTTACAGACACGAAATGCTACCAAGCTGCAGAGAGAGAGAGATGTTGACAAAAATAACATGAGGTCACCGTTCAGGGCTGAGCAGAGCTTTCACTTATGATATACACTGGGGATTCAAGGAGCCCTATTCACAAAAACTGTAACAGTGAACAGAGCCACACAGGGCCCTGGTATTAAGCCATAGAAAAGTATGTTTAATAGGCATCAGACTAAGAATTATTTTAAAAATATTAGTTCATATTGGCATCCATCAGGATATGCATGTAATAGAACTCAACAGTGGATGATCAAAGAGACACATACCTAACATCAAACCACCTAATCAAGATGTGTACGTGGGACCTGTGCTTGGAATGGGATGATGGCTGTGTTTACAGCTTTGCACTGTGACCCTTTAGAATGGGTCAGGAGAGCCTGGTGACCTGAGTGAGATCCCTGGAGCCCACATAAAGGTAGAAGGAAAGAGCCAGCTCCACAAAGTTGTCCTCTGACCTCCACAGATGCCATGGAACCCGTACACACACACACACACACACACACACACACACACACACACACACACACACACACATACATTCTTATTTAAAAGTAGAAAGGGTTTTGAAATCTGCATAGTATCTACATTCCCTAACATTAAGCATGGAGTACAAAAACATGGAAAAATGCAGTGCCTTTTCACAAAAGCTGGCGGTCTATGACACCGTTTCAAAGATTACATGTATGCCATGCATATGACACAAGCCCAAAATTGTCAGTTATTTGAGGTCAAGGAATTAGTTTTGGGAGAGTGCTGTTAGTATCTGGGCATTGGCTATGCCCTCAGCTGTGGGAGGGACTTCACTTGGAGAGCTCATCCTGCATCCCTGTTAATCAGGGTAGGCACAGTGGACTGACATTTGAGCTTCTAGAACTCATGGAGGGGCAAACCAGAGAAGAAAACAGATTAGCTTTAACTCATGGGTGGCATTTCAACACAGTGGAGTTTTGTGATTTGTACCCAGTGGCTGTCTCTATTACTGAAATGTAGAACCAACACAAATGTCTTTAGTCAGGCACACCTCCTCTGAGAATTACAAAGAGTGTGGACAAATCTTGCCTGGAATTTGTCAAGTAGTGGACTGGATTTACTTGCCTGTTTAGTTTTGTTGTTTTTGTTTTTACTAGTTTTGTTTTTACTGTTCTTGCTAGAAATCTAGGCTGGCCTCAAACAGCTTATTTTTCTTTTTATATGTCCCATTTTCTTTAGTGTTTTTGACTAAATAACAACAACAACAACACAAACCCAAGATTTGGGGCTGGAGACATGATTTAGGGATAAGTGCTTTTGTTGCACAAAGCAACTCGTTCAATTCAGCTCCAAAGACCAAAATCTACCGTTCAGCACTTACTACAAGTTGTCAGAGCTGAGGAGCCCCTTCGGTACCAGTTCAGACCCACAGATAGGGAAATCAGGATGCTGACACATCCCTGGAAGGCACGGTAACAAGAGAGGCTCCGGAAACTCTAGTCTCCAAGGTGAACAAGAGGAGCCAGGCAAAATGTCTCTGCCTGGAAAATGAAGGAGGAGAGAGAGGAAGACGGGAGGGGAGAGGGAAGGGAGGAAGAGGAGAAGAAGAGGAGGAGGAAAGGGGAGAGGAGGAGGAGAACAGAACAACAGCAACAAAAATCTCCAAGATGGCAAGTTCTCCAGAGCAATTGACACAAGCAGTGCCAGCTTACCTTAGAGATCCTGGCTTCTTTTTCACAAGGATGCACTCTAAATTTGGATGAGAAGAGGCAGGGAGCGGGGGTTGAAAAGAAAATCGAACCTGTCCTCAGAAACACTAGTGGTGCCTTTTTTCTTCTAATCAAGGATATTGTTTCTGTTTTTAGTTGAACCATTCCCTGGGAGGTTCCATACTATACCCTATAGGAAGTATCTTCTCTTCATTCATGGTTTGATACATTCACCCACATAGCATCCCTAACACACTAGAATAACATCGGTAAATTGTCTTTCACTGAAAGAAATGAAGAACTCTAGGTTTTTAATTTGGCTGCTGGAGAATAAGCTAAACATAGATTCTACAAGGTGATCTGAGACACTGGTCCTATTAATGATCTCATCCATCAAGGATCCTTCAAAAACACTCACTAAAGTGACACTATATCGGCTTTCACTCCTTCCTTACCTTAGTGTAATTTAGGAGGTGTGTACCACTTACTCTCCCATCCACCCACTCCTACTTCCTGTTAAAGACCTTTATATTCCCAGTAACCACCCTCCTTCAGGGGAGAATAAACATTGTTGGGCTAAAGAAGGGAACATATTTGTAATTTTTTTTTTTTTTACAATTTCTAGTCCCCTCTTTTAAACATTATCTTACTATTATAGTCCATGAGCTATGATTCTTCTGCCTCAGCAGCCTGAGTCCTGGAATTATAGGCGCATACCACCAGAGTCAGCTTAATCATTTTGGATAAACAAGATCTAAATAATTAGAGGCAGACATATTCTGATTCCCCATTTTCTATCTAGTCATGTGAAACAGATCAATAATGAGCTCATGTTCAATGTCTTGGAACAAAAAAAAAAACATGCATGCAAAGAACAATAGATAGACTGAGGAAGTTGTATTTAGGAATATATGTGCATATGCATATACATTCATGCATGTAATAATTTATGTAAAAGGTCATGAATTTGAGAGACAGAATGATATATGGGAGAGCTTGGAGGAAGAAAAGGTGAGGGGGGAAATGATGATATTATATTATAATCTCAAAAAATAAAAGAAGTAATATTTTAAAAATGGCTGGAGCTAGAGACTTGGCTCAGTGGTTAAGAGCACTTGTTGCTTTTGCAGAGAACACTGATTGGGTTCCTAGCACCCATGTAGTGACTCAAAACGAAGGTCACAGAACATTTCATAAATTTTAGAAACAATCTCAGTGCACAGTAGGTCCTAACACATCCCTGGGATCCAGAAGGGACTGCAGTATGTATCTTGGATTAGGGAACACAGAGGAGTCATGTGAAATGTGAACCCCATGGCATGTGGAGTTATTTGAAGGCAGAGTGGCTGAGAATACTTGCTCTAGTTCCTTGGTCTGGGAAACACACATGAAACATACTGTCTTCTAGCAAAGGGCTAAAGAGGACAGAGGAAGCACCATCTTGAAAGAAATGTGGGAAGACTCCATTGGCAAGAAGAGCTGTGGAGTAAGCATTTTCCTAGGGTCAAAATCTATGCTCAGACTCCATTCTCCCTAGTCACTACACTACTTTATATGGCCAGTCTCATAAGAATGCGAGGCCAAGCTCTGAGCATTTAGAGCACAGGACCCTGTGATTTACACTTAAAGGCCCAGTGGGACCCCCATTGGGTATGCTTGTTCAGTGGATTAAGGTGGTTTTGCACCCTTCTACAGAAGTAAAACCTTTTACTTTGCAAAAATTCTTTGGATTCTATGATCATTTATTATTTACTGTTTATCATTTATCCTACCATTTGGAACCATCTTAAAATTACTTACTTGTGATAACCGTTGTGCTCACAAGAAGTAGAAGCAGCAAGGTAATGGAGATTCCAATGTAGAAGCCTTTAGTCATGATCCTTGGTGGGTTCTGTGTTGGATCAATTCCTAGGGAAATAGAAGTAAACTGAAGAGGGACCAAGTGAGATGAACAGGAAAACATCCTAGACCTTAGCATAGACCTTTACCTTTATTGGCCCGTGGCTAATCTAGAATATGAAAGAAGACCCAATGATCAGAGATAGTCATGCACAGTGGAACTCTGGGACTATAAAGTGTATTTGACAATGATGGAAATGTGTTCTTTTTTTGCTTGGGGTGATTACATGGATGTATACCTCTATCAAAATTCTAAGGAATGCATCATTTTTGTGTTTATGTCTGCATTAACAGTCAGTAGGGTATACCTCTACTGAGGAAAACAGTGGCTCTTCTCTGAGTTGACATGCTCTGATGTTACCCCAATGTGCTCAGCTACTGGTTTGGTCTTTCATCACAGACCCTACTTGTCTTGTAAAAGGCAATTGGGCACAAACAATCAAGCCCAGTGATGAGTTTGGGATTAAACTGAGTGATTTGCTTTGTAAAAGAGGCACATGAATGTGTGACTTCCACAGAGCCCAGATATTGTGAGTAATATGGTAGCATAGCTGTCATCATATCTATGGCCAAAGAAACTTGGAAAGAAAAGGGTTTAACTCAGCTTATGCTTCCACATCACAGTTCATCATCAAAGAAGTCCGGACAGGAACTCAAGCAGGGCAGTCAGGAGCTGACGAAGAGGCCATGGAGGATGCTGCTTACTGGCTTGCTCATCATGGCTTGCTCAGCCAGCTTTCTTATAGAACCCAGGACCACCAGCCCAGGGATGGCACCACTCACAATGGGCTGGGCCCTCTCATGTCAATCACTAAGCAAGAAAATGCCCTTCAGGCTTGCCTATATCCTGATCTTATAGAGAAATTTTCTTAATTGCAGTTCCCTCCTCTCAAATGACTTTAGTTTGTGTCAAGTTAACACAAAACTATCAGGCCTAGGAAGCATGAGCTATGGAAAGGAAAATGGCTCATTGTCCTAAGATGGGGAAAGGATACTATATTACCCATCTTGTTGACAGAGACATTGTTTCAGGTTACTGAGGCAGGGTGATCTATGAGTTTGAGGCCAGACTTCTGATTGACATAGTGAGTTCCAGGCAAGCAAGAGCTACAGAGTGATCCCACATCTTAAAGAAAAACAAACAAACAAACAAACAGACAGACAAACAACCCCAAAAGATTCCACTAAATAACCCTAGCTGGTCACATGATCACATCAGCTGTCACTTTTTTTTTCTAAATCTCTGTTTTCCATGAAGTCAGTAACTTATCCTTATTTTCCAAACTCAGCCATGAGCCCATCCTCTGAAACAGGCAGAAACTAAGTATTGAAAAGTTCTGTCAGTCCTGAGAGATCTCACAGTTCTCTAGCGTGTGCAGCCGCCTGGAATAAAGTGGTTTTTCTCACAAATCCTTGTGCTCTAAAATCTCAGTTATAACCTAGAGCCGTCTGCAAACTCAGCTTGTAGTCCAGGCCTTCAGAGTCCTCCTAGTTGATGTACCCACCGGCCAATGGGAGGTGAGGAGATCAATACTTTTTCTAGCAAGAAAAAGTTGTGACACTTCTGTCGCTTGTTAGAATTCCAGGATTTAGAAATAAACATGAAAGCACAGATCGGTCAATAAGAAGAGACAAGAGCTTTTGCTGTAGCACCAGCAAGAGGCTGTCCCCAGGCAGAGGCTCCTCTCCTGACGCTCTGTTCTTTGTCATTGACCAACTAGGACTGGGCAGGGCCAATAGGAGGCAGCTGCACTTATCACATGGAGCTGAGTGCAGAGCCCATGTTCCTAAGGACACACTGTATAAATGACAGGTTTCAGGTCCTCAGATCTCTAAGCATCTCTGTGAGACTGAGAGGGTTGTGGGGCCCTGGAACTGATTGTCTACCTTTCATTGGTAAGTGACTGACTTCTACAGATTACAAGATCAGTATGAGCAATGCAGTCAGTTCTAAGGGTACATACCACACAACCCTGCATCTTAGCTGAAGGAAAACTAGCCCCATTGGCCTATGAGAGATCCCATACAAAGCCCAACACAAGGGATTTGCACATTTGAGTATAGAATGGACACACTCTTCCTTTGTTTCTTCCAATCTAAGAGAAGCAGGGTGAATTTCCCTTATCCAGAAATGCTTGGTACCAGGAGTTTCATAATTTGAGTATTTCTGAAAGTTTTGGGCTATTGCATATAGGTAATAACTTATGGATAGGGCTCAATCTAAATATTAATTGCCATAACACATTCATATAGCTACATTGGTTAATACTTGTAAGGTTACAAATTCTTGATAATGCATAGAAATGGATAGTGCATGGAAATGACATGGATTTTCCAGATGTATCATCAAGTCAGTGCCCAAAAGTTCTCAGATTCTGAAGCGCTGCATGTTGGGTAATAGTCTCAGGTCATGAGGCATTGAGTCAAGTTTTACTGAGCAATAGACCCTAACCATAAAGAATTGAATAGCCCTATGCTGACCATTCAGTTCCACCTGCAGAAACAATATGCCTGGGTATTGAAAACAACCCACCCCCACTCCTGGTCAAACCACAAAACATAGCTGTAACTTCCTGGTAGCTACACATACACACACACACACATACACACACACACACACACACACACACACACACACACTGTGTATGTGTATGATTGTGTGTGTGTGTGTGTGTGTGTGTGTGTGTTCCTCATCCCTCTAAATGTGCTCAACCATCATCCCACAGAAAGGCCAGGGCTCTTCACTGTTCCAATAAAGCAGTCTCAGCCAGTTATGAGATCGAGTCTGCTTCTCTGCCACATTTTTCCATTTTTCTCACACTCAGACTTTGGATTCTCAGATTAGGCAGACTTGATCAGGAATTCACAAATCAAGAGAGTCAGGAGTGCTGTAAGAATCCAAACAGCTTACTGATGTTCTGAGAGTGCACAGAGAGCCAATTAAGGGAATTAAGGGAAAAGGGAGTCTGGAAGGAAATACTGAGTGAAGGACCCCAGCAGGAGCACACAGTGTTTTTGTCAGATGATGTTCCCCCATAAGCAGCTTTCTTCAATCCTAACTCTGCTAACTACAAAATAAAACCTTGGGAATTGAGAACAGTTGGTTCGACCTTGCTTTCCTTTAAAGGACAAAATGAAATTTGGAATCTATATAGCCTTTGCCTTGAAAGAAGGAAAAGAAATGTGTGTACCTATAATGTGCAGGGAAGTAGCGAATGCAAGGGTCAGCCTTCCTTTGTGTGTGTGTGTGTGTGTGTGTGTGTGTGTGTGTGTGTGTGTGTGTGTCTGTGTGTGTGTGTGTGTGTGTGTGTGTGTCTGTGTCTGTGTGTCTCTGTGTCTGTGTCCCATATGTAGAGGTCAGAGGACAGCTTGAGAGATGTTTCTTTCCTTCTACCTTGTGGGTCCCAGGACTTGAACTCAGGTTTTTGGGTTTGGCAACAAGTGCTCTTACCATGGAAACAGAGCCCTAACCCTTGTTCTGTGTAAAGACCAAATAGTAAATGTTTTCAGCCCGGGAACCTAAAAACACATGTTGACTAGCAAGCATGCCCCTCAACCAGTTGGAAAGCCACGTCATGGCTTTCCAACACAGCAATGAGTCCTGTGGCTGTGCTTCAGTGAAACTCTTCACACCAGTGAGTGGGTCTGTCACCTAACCAGATCCAGCCCTGGCTAAAGTTTGCTGAACCAGTCTAGTGTGTAGCTAGAGGCTTGAGCATGATCCAACCCCCTCTCTGGAGAGTATAAATCTCTGAGGTGGAGAGAAAAGCAAGCATGCGAACAATCTAGTCAGAAGGTCACCATGAGAACAAACCCAGGAAAGAATCATCAGCTCAAGACCTTTGCTTCTCTTGCTCTGGGGCATTTTTTCTCCCAGGTAGATGGGGAAGTCCAAAGGAGCTGATGAGGATCCTGGGATGCTGAAGAGAAAGCTCTGTGTGTTTAAACCATGAGAAGATGTAGACTTGGTTGTTAAAGGATAAGGCAGAGTGTCACTCATGGACCCATTGACCAGCCAGCCAGAAGACTTTTAAACAGTGACCTGTGAAAGAATTTCTAAGCTTGATTAAAGCCTACTCTTAACAATTTCATGCAACTAGACATGGCGATATAGGCTTTTAATCCCATCACTCAGAAAGCAGGGGCAGTTGGAGCTGTGTGTTTGAGGCCAGTTTTATCTACGTATGGACATCCAGACCAGCCATACTATACACTGTTATCCTGTATCAGCAATAGATAAGTAAGTCAAAGAAATAAAAAATAAATAGCAAAGTATAGGGTTGATATATACAATTACAAGATAATGGTCTGAATTGAAAAAGAATGCAGACAGGTTACCATAAACTTCTATTGTCAGTATAAGCCCATCCTTACAATTCAACCTTTAACTAAAAGCTGAAAGAAAATCAGGATGTCCACATCACAAAGGAACTCTAATGATTTAAGACCTAGAGCTTTCACAAATTTCTCACTAGTAACCACTGAACAGGTGTTGGAAGAGAAACACTTTCCCATGTGGCCATTTTTGTATGTAAAAGGATAATTTTGTGACATGATGTAAGGACTATTTTAAAAGCCCAAGGCAGGGCAGACATGGAGTGGAACTCTCTACCCACAATGTGGCCTGCACTCAGCAAGGTCAGCTGACCCTTGTTGAAGCCAGTTCATCAGCACAGCAGCACCCTGCATTGCCTGCTTTTCGGGTTAGAGCTGTTATGCTTTTACAGTGCTGAGGACAGGTGGTTTAATGTCGCAAGACAGTAACTGGTGGGCATGGGGCTGTTTTTGCTCAGTGGCTACAATGGTTGGTCCCTAAGCCTCATCCAAGTTCTTCATTAGAAAGATGGACTGAGGAAGAAAGCAAAGGATCACTCATGCTGCCACTCACAGTGACTGGGACCGCATCTTCCTGGGGGGATGTCTAAATCATCAGTGCAACAGCATCTTGCATTGCCTGCCTTCAGGTTAGAGCTGTTGTGCTTTTACAGTGCTGAGGACAGGCGGTTTAATGTCACACGCCATTAACTGAGAGGCAGAGGATCCCTTTCATTCAAGTCACTTCAGCTTAAATAAAGCTCCCCACTGGGTTTCAGGATGGAAAGTGGATGCAGTTTCATGCACCAACATAACTGTCCCAAGTACACAGGTAGGGCATGGATCCTGACTTAGCTCTTGGTTTTGAATTAAGGTTGATCCAAGCACATGAAAGGTACTCTGTACATCAGAAGGGAATATTAAGGCTGTGTTTGATGAAACTCTCAGGGCTAGAGAGCTAGAGGCATGGGGATCAGGAGATTGTAGAAATCAAGATACATGAGATTACATTTCAAAACAAAAAACAAAAGCAAGTGTTTAGTAGCAAAAATGTTTATAAGAGCTTTTGTTTCCTTGTTCTAGGAAAATAACAAATTATTAGCAAAACAGAGGACTTGGTTTACTTGTAAGAAATAAGCAAAGCAACAAGGCACACTTACCTGGTTGAACTTGAAGTGAGATGGTCAGTCTCTGTACACCATTCCATCCCGCCATTTCCACTCGACAGCAGTAGAAACCACTGTCACTCTCAGTGACATTCTCTATTGTCAAGGACACGTTTCCTCGAAGAAGCTGCCCCTTTAGGTGGTAACGATTGTTCCTCTCATAGTAGACGTAGTATCCATTGGTCAAGATAACAACATTTTTACATTTATTAGTAAAACACGCCAATCGGCCCCAACATGTGGGTGAGATGCCATAAGATACAGGGTAAGTACACGGCAGTGTCACAGGGTGACCCACCACTCCACGCACTTCTGGGAAGGATTCTATAGCAGCTGTGGTAAAGAAGGGGAAATAGAGAAGGAGTTCTCGATGGTTTCCTACAATTGTATTTTCCTTTCTGCATTTCTTCTCCATTGTTCCTTTTTGTGTCAACTGAGTATTCAACTTGGGGCATGATGCGTTGGAGACATGAGCTCTACTGTTTCTTCTCTCTCTCTCTCTGTCTCTCTCTCTCTCTGTCTCTCTCTCTCGTTTTTGGTTGCTATTGTTTATTTTTCTTTCATTTTCTTTTTTGAGCCAGAGCTCACTATGTAGACGTGGCAGGCTTAGGACCCACTTATAAACGAGGTAGCCCGAAACTCTTAGAGATCCTCCTGCATCTACCTCCTGAGTGTTGGGGTGAAAGTCCCCACCAGGCCTGACCTGTTGGTTTGCGTTTTATTCAGGGCCTTGCTCTGTAACCTAAGTTTGCTCACACTGACTGTCTTCCTGCCTCAGATGCCTGAAAGATGGAATTACAAGCATGTGCCACTGAGACCAGCTCTAATTTAATTTTTAAAAGTTATTTATTTTACTTTTTAAGATCAGATTGTGATTATGTCATTTCCCCCTTTCCTAACCTCCCTTGAAACCCTCACATACAGCCCTCCTGGCTCTCTTTCAAAATCGTGGCCTCTTTTTATCATTAATTGTTGTTACATGGATATATATATATATATATATATATATATGTGTGTGTGTGTGTGTGTGTGTGTGTGTGTGTGTGTACATACATACATATATATACATATATACATATATATATATATATATATACATACTTACATAAATACAACCTGCTCCATCTCTATGTTACTGTATATCTGAATATGTGTTCAGAGGTGACCATTTGGTATCAGATAACTAACTGGTGAGCTCTTTCCTGGACAAGACTAGTGCTGCTCTTAGCTAACTGGGACAGGGGATTGCAAACTGTACTTCAAGTTTAAGTTTTCAGATTTAAACCTGCTGTGTCCTAGAAGCTGTGTGTGTTGATGGGCACCTGCAAAACCAGACTGTGAGAGGTGGAAGCAGGAAAGTCAGAAGTTCAAAGCCAGCCTTGGGTAACTAGCAAGTTCAAGACCAACCTGGGTTCAGGAGACCTTGTCTCAAACCACCCCTTTATGTTATTCAAAGTGGAACTATCAACTCTTACCCTCCTCTCCTATACAAATAACAAAGCCAAGGTTTTGTTTACAGCATTATTGACTTAAAGGTAGAAGTTTTATACTTTAGCATCAATTTACAGAAAGGATTTTAGAACTCTATGAGAAGTGAGGTTTTAGGATCAGTCCTTAAGAAAATCCAAGTAAGAATCCCTTGTTATAAGTGGGTGACGTCTCAGAAACATGAACTCAGCCCTTTCTAGTCTATCACATGCATGCACATGTACTCACCCTTTTCTAGTCTCTCACATGCATGCACATGTACTCACCCTTTTCTAGTCTATCACATGCATGCACATGTACTCAGCCCTTACTAGTCTATCACATGCATGCACATGTACTCAGCCCTTTTCTAGTCTATCACATGCATGCACATGTACTCAGCCCTTACTAGTCTATCACATGTACTCACTCTTCATGTGCTCTTGTGGTTTTATTTATTTATTTTTGGCCATCAGTTTTGAAATACATCCAAATAAATAATTTCTCCAGAGCTCCAATTTTGCCCTGTTTCTCTCCTCTCTACACAATTCATAATCAACAAATACCAAGGAATGTATTCTTTCTATGTCATATCCAGTCTCCACAACACATACCCTCCCCCAGCTCACCTACTCACTTACCTGGGAGAAGTAGTATGAGGCCTGAAATGAAGACTTGAGGATGCATCATGCTGTTGACCTAGAAGACAAAAAGAAGCTACTCTAGTTGACTGTGGCACTCAGTACATGGTATCTGGTCATGCCTTATTTCTCAGAAGGCAACTTTTCTTTGATCCCTGATGATGTGAATCATGTGGGCCTGTTCTGCTGGGCCAAGAAAACCCATATTCAAAGAGCCCTGTAAGTTCCCAGTTGTGGAGGACTGTGTGCCTTGGACAGGGAAAGCTGTCCTCCAAAACAGCCTCTTCTTTCCCGACCCATCCCCACACATAACCATCAATCTCATTCCTGGTCTTGGCACAAATAAGGCAGCAAACAGAGAGAAAACTGAAGGCAGAGACAAGAATGTGCTTCCTGGTAGAACCCTGAGTGAGCACCAGCCTTCTGATGGTGAAGATGAGCTTGCCCTCTGATGAGCATGGGGCTGTTTCTGCTCAGTGGCCACAATGGTTGGTCCCTAAGCCTCATCCAAGTTCTTCACTGGCAAGATGGACTGAACAAGAAAGCAAAGGATCACTCATGCTGCCCCTCACAGTGACTGGGACCTCATCTTCCTGGGGGGATGTCTAGAGACACCCTGAAAAGCACTAGGTACAAATCTAAACCTTCCATTCACAGAGCCCCGCCATGCCTAGATTTCCTCCTAGGTAAAATAGCACCAGTGTTTGCTGAGCTTTTCAGAGAATCTGCTGTGAAGGAGATGCTGGGCTATTTACTCACAGGCACCTAATCCTCACAGAATCCCCAAGGCAGCTGCTTTTATAAATGACCTTTTATAGAGGATGTTCTACGTGTTCAGATTCTAACTTCTACATTTCAACTTTTGCTTTTTAATTGCTAAGCCATAAGAATAGAAGTAAGTCCACCAGTACTTTATGACCTCCACTCCTGTTCAGACATCCCAGGACTTCCTCTCAGAGAGGAAACAGACAGCCTTTTCTAGTCTCTGAGACCAGTGACAGATGTCATGAGAACACCGGTGATGGGCAGGCTCAGCATCCTCAGGCCTGGGACCCCACACGACTCACACTAACAGCCTCTGTATTTGGAATAATGCTGCAAATGGCTGGCCAAACACTGAGACTCTTTTGCATGAGAAAAATCTAAAAATGGTTACTTAATAGAGGAATTTTAGAAATCTAAAGCCCACATGAGTATCAGCCGTGTGGCTTTTTGTCAGCAAAACTACTTGGCAGCACGTGGCACCTACCATCCTGTCCCTTTTGAGTTCTGCTGAGGACAGGGCGCATACAGACATTCACTGCCTCACACACAGTGATCCTTTTATTTTTCTTGTTTGGCTACACAGGGTTTCTCTGTGTAGCCCTGGCTGTCCTGGCACTCATTCCGTAGCCCAGGCTGGCCTCAAACTCAGAGATCTGCCTGACCCTACCTCCCTACTGCTGGGATTAAAGGCGTGCGCCACCATCACCTGGCAGTAATGCCTTCTTGACACACAGACTCACTGTCACCGAGCCATCCTACAGCTGCTCTCTGCTTTTTCTTTACATTTCATACAAATCACTTCTTACAAATATCTCTTAATCTGCAAACCAACAAGTCAACGAAGAAGACTGAAGTTATAGTTGTGTGCTCACCTCCTTGGTCCCGTTTTCGTATTATTTAGACAACATTGCATGTTACCTATAGACACCACCTGAATAAGTAGGGATTAATCCAAGAGTACCAGCCTGTTTTCTACAGCTTTCTTCTTATTTCTCATGTTAACCTTACTTAAGAAGGCTTTAATAAGTCTTCTATGAGCCAGGCAGTGTTTACCCATACCTTTAATCCCAACCCTCAGGAAGCAGAAGGAGGCAGATCTCGGTGAGTTTGAGGCTAGCCTGATCTACAGAGTGAGTTCCAGGACAGCCAAGGCTATGCAAAAAGAAATACTGTCTTGAAAACCAAAACAAACAAACAAAAACAAACAGCTCATCTATGAAGTTTATTACTCCATTTAAATGAAGATCTAACTCGAAGAACCCAAATAACTCTATTGGACATTAAGTTGTCCTAATGTCCTACATACAATCCCATGTAATCCCATAACTGTCCTGATTGCTTCCCTCCAGCATGAATCTGCAAAAGACTGTACTTACCAGGTAGGTAGGAGAGCCCCAGCTTCTTCTTACAGTCTCTCCTTCAAATCTTGGCTGTTGATGGACTCTTCCAGAGCTGCTGATGGATGAAGACGAGTCTCTCCCAGAATTCCATCCTTATCTCCCGGCCACACGTTCACCTGTTCTGTGTGAAAATTGAGTCTGTCCAGTTCTCCAATCCAATCCACCTACTAGATAGCATCTACTCACTGATACAGAACAAACTAGAGGAGGACATCAGTGGGTGGGAGCATTGTTAATGTGCCCCTGGGCTGTGTCCCAAGCTGCAGCAAAGATCTTCACTTGAGGTGTGACTCTAGGCCTGGGGACCATGCTGATTTGGAGATGGCTAGAGATTGGAGGGACTTTAACACCTGGACCAACCCTCTCAATTTACAGATGAATAAAGTGCTCCAGAAAGAAGAATCAACTGTAGAAACCAGGAGTCCCTGGAGCAAGAGCAGAAGGGACACCTGCTCTTACTGTACCCACTGGTCTGCCCTTCAACTAACATCTTTCTAATACATGTTTACTCATACTCCATACTAGAATAGGGGAGTTGAAAGAAATAAATCTACCTCACAATCTCTGCTTCCAAAAGCTTAGGGAATACAAGATATGGTGGTAGACACCTTGATCCCAGCCCTGGTGAGGCAGAGGCAGGTGGATATGTATTTTATGTCAGAAGGGTTACAGAGAGAGTTCCAGGTCAGCCAAGGCTACACGATGAGAAGAGATCTTAAACCATCTGAAGCCAAGCTTCTCCATACCCTGATGCACATTTAAGTTGTTACTAAATTGTCCATAGAGGCTCCCAGAGTATGGGTGCTGAGTAAGACAGGGAGCAGTGTGAGCACTTTCCCATCTGTCAGCTAGAGGGTGCTGTGTTCAAACAAGAGTTTCCAGAAGGAAATACGGACTTGGAGGGTGTCCTCATCACTCCCCCAAAACCAAATTATAAAATAACTAGCCAACCTTGAATGGTCTTCCTAAAGATACTGAAGACAGAGTTTTGAGGTAAGAATTTTACTGGATCATTGCTATCTCTTTGGATGTGGTTTTTTTTTTTTGTTTTTTTTTTGTTTTTTTTTTGAGACAGGATTTCTCTATATAGTCCTGGCTGTCCTGGAACTCTCTCTGTAGACCAGGCTGGCCTGAACTCAGAGATCTGCCTGCCTCTGCCTCCTGAGTGCTGGGATCAAAGGAGTGTGCCATTGGTCATTGAATGTGAAGATGCTGCCTCCACACCCATCTGCGGAAAGAGAGGGGTCCAGAAGATTTAATCACATAAGGCTTTACTGAATGGAGTAAAGACAGGATAATCATTTCAGTTCTGACTTGGATGTTGTTATTGTTGTTTGTTTGTGTTTCTTGATTCGTTTTGAGACAGGGTCTTACTATGTAATGCAGGCTGGTCTTAAACTCTTTTGTGGTTGAACAACCATTAAACTTCCAATCTTCTTTCCATTGGTGCTGGGATCACAGGTGTGTGCCGTGCCCCATGGGTTCTACTGTGCTGAGGATCCAACCCAGGGTTTCTTGCACACCTGGCAAATAGTCTAAAAGTGAGTTACATCCCCAGCCAGAATGATCATCTTACAAAGAACTGTCCGTGTACACTGAACTGTCCATGCCAGGAGCACCTGTACAAAATGTATGGTGTACTCTGCACATCCCTACTCCGGGAACGAGTTGTCACACAGTGTTTACTCTGCTTCTTAATAATGTGTACTTATTAAAAATAACAACTTTTTGGGGAACTGTGTGACTTCAAATATATTCAAGAGATGTAAGTGAAAAATAACACATAATAACTTGTTTCTTGGAATCCATTTTTGCAAAGCATCATAACTTAGTAGCATCATATTTAATGCATATGCCTATAGAATGGAAATGTGTGTGAGGGGGGATAAAAACCACCAGACTCTTCAAAGTACCTTGTAGAGAACCAGGATGAAATAAAATGACTTTTAGTTTAAAGCTCTCTATTTTTTAAAATAATTTTGTTTTTAAAGTTTTTTAATTTTATATTAATATCAGTGGAAAGGGCGAGTATATGTACAAGCACCATGTGCATGGATAAGCCCACAGGTACCAGAAGAGGGCCATGGATCCTCTGGAACTGGAGACACATGGGATGACTTGTCCTGTGGGTGCTGAGAACTTAACCTAGGTCCTCTATAAGGGCAGGAAGTACTCCTAAACACGAAGCCATCTCTCTGGCCTTGATGTTCTATACTTATGTATCATCTGAGTATTTAAGAACACTCACCAGTGTTCTTAACATACTAATATATGTTAAATGGGGGCTTTATTTTTTTTATTTTCATTTCTCTGTGGATATGCAAGTGTGTGTTTGTGCTGGGGTATATACACTCATGAAGGCCAGAAGAGGGTATCTTGTGTCCTCTTCTATTTCCCTGCCTATTCCTCTGAGTCAGGATCGCCCTGATCTGGACCTCATGTTTTCTCAGTACACTGGAAGTCAGAAGACCACCATTCCCCTTTGTCTCCCTCTCCCCATTTCAGGGTTGAGAATCAGGTGTTCTTGAGGTGGTATCTTCTTATGTGGGGGCTGGGATGTTCAGTCTGGCCTTCATGATTAGGCAACAAGAATGTCTAACTGCTGCGCCATCTCTCAAGCCCTGTCACCGGTTTCTTTTTAATACGGTAGTAGAAAATTAAAACTGCTATGCAGTCCTTACTGTATTAGTACTGGACAGTGCTGGTCTAGAAGTGCAGAGCAATTATGCGTTTCTCTCCTGGGGAGTGTGGGAATGCCCAATGATAAAGGAGAACGAGGAATTTCCAGTGTTTAACTCAGACTCTGCCTGTTTTAGTGTGGGCTTGGCTGGTTGTTTTGTCTATTTGTTTTGAGATGAGCTTTTATATAATCCAGGAATCTCAAGTCTCTGTAGTTGAGGCTGGCCTTAGACATTTATGTATGTATGTATGTATGTATGTATGTATGTATAATACTGACCTGTATTTCACTTCTTTTATTTCTTTTTTGGTTTGGTTTTTTTGAGACAGAGTCTTGCTGTGGAGACCAGGCTGACATCATATTAGCAATCTCCCTGCCCAATACTGGATTTTCACTTGCATGCTGGAATTTCACTCATGTGCTGCCACACCCAACTAATCTGTTCAAACTTGAGGAACCAATCCCAGGACTCCCAGTAAGGAATGCAGCTCAATTAATAGTATCAGGCCAGTTTCTTTGTTTTGATCAAGGTATGTACCCTGCACACAATAGAAAGAATTGAATGACTATAAGGACTTTGCTACAGATCTAAGTTATTTCAGAATAAAAAGTTCAACAACAGCAACAAGGAAATAAATATTCCAAGGAGATCTCTATCTTCCCAGGCTACTGTAAAGCAATTAGCTTCAAGTAGGCTGCCCTGCCCAGAGTGTCCTTGTGACACCTTGACTGGAAAGA